CCACCTTGAAGCCCACAGGAAACTTTGTCTGCTCTGAGTGTCTTCAGCATAATGCCTAGGCCCCTCCCATGGGGCCTGTTGTCCATGACCTGGCATCATGGTCATTCCATAAGCTTAGCATCAAAGACAAAAATCCTCTGGGTGGGGATCATTCTTTCAGCTCCTGCATTCACTACAGTTCCTGTGTGATGCTGTGCTGTGCCACACACACCCTCTCAGGACTGAGATAGCCTTTTGCCTCAATTGGAATAGCCTGAGGGGCATCCCAGCCCCAGAGCTCGCTGGGACAGGCTGCAGCCTCTGTGGCAAGTGCATGGTAATTCAACTTTTCTCTGAGTCTAATGCTGCCTCACTTACCCTGGGTGTTGTTCCCAAGACCCTCCCTAATAAATCTCCTGAAGCAAATCTCTACCTCAGAGTCTATTTCCAGAGAACCCTATCTACAACAGTCACAGTCCCTAAAACAGGCCTGGGCTTAAGAAATGCCTGCAGTGGATTGATGTCACACACAGACACACAATGACCTCCACACATCCGGTTCAGCCTTTTCCCTTCAGATAGAAGCCCCTGCATTGCTCCTTGCCCATGAACTTAAACTCAAAGCCTCCTCACCTCTCTGTGCCTCCACTTTCTCATCTGTAAGATGGGAATAGAGATGGAACCTATCCCCAGTAGGCTGTTAGACGATTAAGTGAAATAAGTAACAAATGCACTTAAAATAGTGCCTCCTAGGTAGGGTGACCATACACTGTGGTTTGCTCAAGACGGCCTCAGCCTTTCCTATTGCTCCCTCCCTCCCACCAAAAAAATGTAATAGCATCCACTTTTAGTTTCAATTGTATCCTGGTTTGAATGATAAATTATATGATCATCGTGCTCATAAGGAGTAAGTGCTTAGTAAGTATTAGCTATTATTTCTGCTGGAGGGGCAGTGGGTGGAGTTCTGCAGCCCAAACATGGTGTTTGGTCCACCTATGCTCACTCAGAATTACACAAACATCTGGACTCTCCCCACCACATCAACACACACACACTCACCCACACCCAGCTCCTCTCCCATACTCTGAGGAACCCATGACTGAGGGGCGTGGGCACTGCCCAGACACGAAGAGGTATCCAATACAGGGCCCAGAGAGAGAATTGCTCACTGTGAGGGCCTAAGGTGGCCCCAGCCTGTTCCCTAGCCTGGAGACAGACTGGCAGGGCCTGTGCTGCCCAAGGGTCTAGAGGCGGGCAGAGGAGCTAGAGGGAGAAAGCCAGTCGGCCACAGTGACCCTTCCCATCTCCACTGCCCCGTACCTGCTGTTCTCAAACACAGTCACCAGATTGAACACAGATGCCAGCTTCTCTTCCTTACTTGCCCCCTCCATCCTGCAGGCCTCCAGGGTGACCCTCAGCTACCCTTGAAGAAGGGAGGGAGGTCTCCAGCCAGCACACTCAGCCACATCTGTGATCTGGGATCACAGATGGGCTAAGGCATCCCAGAGTCCCGTCTTTCCTGAGGGCTCAGCAGGCCTGCTCCCTGCTGCAGAGTGATGAAAGAGGAAGTGGTCCCAGAGCCACAGCCCTGAAGGGGAAAGGCGGGTGCTCCCTGCAGAGGGAGGAGCCTGCTGGGGCCCCACCTCTCCCCCATGGGGCTTGACCTTTCACTCCTGTTGACCCCCAGCTTCAGAAGCCACCCCAAAAGGGCAATGGAGCCCAGAGGTAGTTTCTGGAACTGGGCTTTTGGCCTGAGCCTTGCTACTTGGGCCAACCACACATTCTCACAAGGTCCAGTGTATTTTATTTGATCCTTTCTCCACAACCTCTTTTCTGATTGTGACCCTGCTCATTGCTGTAAGAAAACAGCTTTTTAAATTAAAAATAAGTACAAATCTATTAGGGGCTGGCAGGGAGGAGTACTGTGGTGTTCCCACTTCCGCACTGAAGTTCTCTCATTTTAATGGCTGCTGTCTCCACCTTCTTGACTCCCTGAAACTATGATGATAATAATAGCTAACACATTCTTTTTAGTGCTTTACAAGTACTTTCTCATTTAATCCCACAACAGTCTTATGAAGTGGGCCTTATTACAATCCCCATTTTACAGAAGAAAAAACTGTGGATCAGAGAGGCTAGGTAACTTGCCCAAAGTCATCCAGTAAGAACACAACAGAAGTCAGATTTCCAAAGCAAAGGTGACTGCCCTATAATTCCAGCAAAGATTTCATTGTGAGCCTGGATGACCACATTCTTGCTGCTGTCTATCCTTAAGCCTCCCTGCTCCTAGCACACTGGGTTGTCTCTGCCTGATGCCTCCTTTACCCCTTGGTCTCCCCACCCTTCCAGAACAAATGATCACTGCTTCTATTCCCCTTATTCAAGCCTCACAGGCCCTTCAGGGCTCTCCCACTGGCTTCCAGTCTCACTTGCCCTGAGCCAGAGCTCTCTGTTGAGACTGGTCTTTGTTGTGGAGGGTAGAGACTGAGCCTCAGCCATCTTGGTACCGGAAGTGTCTGGCACAGCTTCACGCTCCAATGCCTGTGAAACACTGGGGCCTCACACGCCCAGCAGACTCACTCTCTCAGAGCTTTGCCTGAGCAGTTTCTTCTAGCAGATGCCTGGCTTCTCCCCCTCAACCCTAAATCTCACTAATTCTCCTCACTTTCCGTTTTTACTTCTTTTGTTATAGAGAATTTAGAACATACGCAAAAGGAGACAGAATATGGCACTCTCACAAACCCATAACCCAGACCCAACAACCATCAATTCACGGCTGGCCCTGCTCCATCGACAGCCACATTCACTCCCCTTCCCATATCATTTTGAAGCAAATCAGGTGATTTCACCCACAAATATTTCAGTGTGTACCTAAAAGATAAAGGTATATATATGTATATACTCACACATATGATATATGTAATGGCAATATTACTTTATATGGGCATACAATCATGTTTTACACATGTTACATATGTGTGTGTGTGTATATGTATATGTATATATATATATATATATATATATATATATATATATATATAGAAACACCATTACCGTTATCATACCCCAAGGGATGTTTAGCAATAATTTTTTAATATAACCAAACAGTCAGCATTCAAAGTGCCAATTCCTCATAAATGTTATCTGCTATGGACTGAACTGTGTTCCCCCCTAAATTCATATATTGAAGCCCTAACCTCCAACATGGCTGTATTTGGAAACAGGAGGTAGTTAAAGTTAAATGAGGTCATAAAAGTGGGGTCCTAATCTGATAGGATTGATGGCCTTATAAAAGGAAGAAATCCCTCCGTCCACAACCGCCCACATCCCCACCCCGGCACCCTCCAAGGAAAGGATTCAAATGAGGTCCACATGTTACAATGAGTTGTCCTGTCTATTAACTCTTTTCACTCACAGATTCACCTTGTTCTTTCTGTTTTCTCACACATGACTGTGAGGACACTGGGTTGCTGGCCCTCCAACTCCCATGGTCAGGACTTTGTTGATTGCAGCACTGGCCCCTGGA